AGTTTGGGATTAGCAGATGCAAACTATTGCACATAGGATGGATAAACACTATATTCAGTACCCTGTGATGAACTGTAATGGAAAAGAACATGAAAAAGAATGTAGCCATACATGAAACCATACATCAGCTTTTCCTGTTAGCATAAGCTAACATAACATTTTAAATCAAATATACTTGAATAAAATAAATTTTTAAAAAAATTACACCTGCCGGATGCTTACAGGAGTGTCTGGTACATACTATTAATAAGATCTCAATCAACCTTAGCCATTTTGTGGTGGGCTAAGGAGTATGATCCCATTTTATGGATGCAGAAACAGAGGCTCGCCGGACTAATTTGTCTACTGGTTGAGTTCTGTCGCTCAGCCATGTCCGACTCTTTGCGACCCCAGGAGCCACAGCACGCCAGGCCTCTACGGGTTACTCAGTTGGTAAGGGCAGAGCTGGTTCCTAATTCGGGTCCGGAAGGAGACCTGCAGGTGGTCTGGGACTCCTGCCAGACAATGAAAAGGACGGCGTCCCGAGGTCCTTTGTTGGGTTTTAGACTGGAAGAGCAGTTTCTCTCTCAGTTGAGCGAGGCTGGGCACACGCGGAGGAAGGAGAACCGAGTTCTCCAGGGCGGCGACCCCTCCTTTTCCCCGAGGAGCGAGTGGAGCCCGGGGCACCAAGTGGCTCGCGCTGCGCCTCCCCTGAAAAGAGGGGGTGGGAGATGCCTTCGGAAGCCCCCTCCTCCCTAGGGCCTCAGACGGCTTCCGCTGCTCGGCTCCCTCCGTTTAGCTTTCTTCTCATTAACTCCCCGGCCTCATTAATCAGCCCGGATGAAATGCGCCCCCGGGAACACTGCCCGCCCGCTCCGCCGTTTGGCGCTTTAATTATCCTCCCAGCGGGATGAGGCAGGGTGGGCGACGACCGTGTGGTACACACATACACACACAGACATACACACACACCCCTCCGGTCCAGGACCCCGCCGCATCAGCACACACACACACCCACCGGTNTTCTTGCCTAGAGAATCCCATAAACAGAGTTGGCAGGCCCATGAGGTCGCCAAGAGTCCGGACACAGAGTGACTGACACTTTCATAGCTGATTAACAATGTGATAGTTTGCGGTGAACAGAGAGCAAAGGGACTCAGCCATAGATATCCATGTATCCATTCTCCCTCCAAATCCCCTCCTATCCAGGCTGCCACATAACATTGAGCAGAGTTCCGTGTGTTCTACAGTAGGTCCTTGTTGGTTATCCATTTTAAATATAGAAGTGTGCCCATGTCCATCCCAACTTGAAGGGAGACTTTTTTAAAAAAATGATTTCATTATCCTTAACTTATGTATTTTGGGGGGGTCATGCTGCAAGGGCCTGTGGGATCTTTTCCACTGAACCTGCACCCACTGCATTGGAAGCATGGACTCTTAACCACTGAACTGCCACGGAACTCTCCTGAAGGGAGACAAACTATAAATGAGAGTTAGCTGGGGAAGGAATGGGTGCTTAAAGAAGCAAATAGAAAACGCAGGGGACAAAGTACAGACTGCACTGTGTGTGCAAAGTCCTGTGGGTAATTCCCTCTGGCTGGAGGATGGGGTCGTGACAAGGGAACAAGTAAGACACAGCTCATGGGGAGCCTTGTATGGCGTGCAGAGGAGGCTGGCTTATATCTAACCTGAAGGCAATGAGAAGTTACTGACAGATCTTTAAGCCAGAGAGTGACATGATTAGATTTATGGCTTGGAACATCCTCTTTTTGATGAGGAGGACAAATGGAGGAGACAGGAATGGAGGCAGGAAGGCTAATTAGCAGGCTAGGTGACTGACTGGGTGTGGGAGGCTAGAAAGAGAAAGAAGGATTTGGAATAGTATCAAGTTTCCTCTGCAAAGTGTGTTTTGGGAATTGGGAGGGAGGTTGTCTTGAGGTGTTTCAAGGTCTCTGACTCAGCTCAAGTGAAAGGTAAGGCAGAGAATTCCCTGGTGGTCCAGTGGTTGAGACTTCACCTTCCATGTAGTGGGTGTGGGTTCAATCCCTGGTCAGGGAGCTAAGATGCCACATGCCTTATGGCCAAAACATTAAACAGAAGCAATATTGTTGTTGTTGAGTTGATAAATTCTGCCTTACTCTTTTCATCATCATGAACTGCAGCACCCAGGCTTCCCTGTCCTTCACTATCTCCCAGATTTTGCTCAAACTCATGTCCATTGAGTCAGTGGTGCTATCTAACCATCTCATCCTCTGGTGCCCCCTTCTCCTTTTGCCTTCAATCTTTCCCAACATCGGGGCCAGGAGACTTGTCTTCTCCTCCTAGGTAGGTAAATTACTTCACCAGCTCTCTCATCTGTAAGATGAAATACAGATTGAATCTGAATTACAAACTCACACCCTCAGTGTCCAGGGAGGTAACAGAAGAGATCCGAGCAAGTCAGGAGAAGAACAAATGTCCACTAAGTCTGGATGGGAGCGGAGTTTGGCAGAGGATGGATACATGCCCTTCAGCCACAGATTAGCTGTGTTGGGAAAGAGCTCAGGATTGCCTTATTGTCCTCAGGAGAAGACAGAGCTTGGTATTTTTATTATGGTGTCTCCTAATTTAAAAATACTCATGTAATAAAAAACATAGTCGCTGTAAAATCCATCAAATATATTTAAAGTCTTGAGTTTATAATGATTTTTTAAAATCTTGCTTACCTTTAGAGGATGCTAAGGAATTGGCTCATTATTTTGAGAAATAATAGGCAAAGGAAAAGAACTGAGAATTTATTGTACCTTTTCTATTTGGATATACCCCAACATAAAGAAATAGTTGATGACAGGTTTTCTTTAGAGAAGTATTCCAGCTAATAAATGAAGATGGAATTACAGAATTAGAATGTCACAATTTGGCAACCCCTAATGAAATAGTGGATCCAGGCAATGATCCTTGCTGGATGGTGATATATCACAACAAAAAAAAAAAACAAACAGACAAGCAGACATGACTGCTGTCGCAATCATATTGCCTATGAAGTATTCTAGTGAAAAAATATCAAGCATTAATTGATCAAGCCTCTATATCTAACAACCAATTTACAGGAAATATAGGGGCATAAGAACATGTTAAATGACACCATGGGGATACATTCAACAAAATTCAGAGTGTGGAAAAATTTTCAGAATGATCCAGTTTTGTCAACAGATAAATTGCAAAGAAAAAACAGATAAAGAGGTGGAACATCCAGTTAAAAGAGACATTACACTGTATAGTCTCATCTGGGTCCTCATTTGAACAACAGTGAATAAACATAAAACATAAAACAGTTGGGGAAGTTTCAATATTGATTATATATTGGATGATATATTTCAGGTGTGCCAATGTTATTATTATGTTATTTAATGAGATCTTACCTTTTAAGACTACACTGAAATATTTACAGAAGTAATATAATTTCTCACATTTGCTTCAGAATTATGAAGGGAGAGAGATAAAGGAAGACTGTCTTTAAATGGACAAGTGCTAAAGCTGGGTAATGGGTTCATGGGGGTCTCATTCTATTTTTCTAATTTTGTGTCTATTTATTATACAGAATATGCAACTTATCCATAATAGGATGCTGAAAAATACTTGAAGGGTCAAAACGTGTCTGTCCTCTCGATTTGGCCCAGCATCTTCCAGATTGTGGCCTCTATATCTAATGAGCTTCAGCCTCCACTCAACTCTGCCTTCACCCCCGAACCCTAAGTAGTAAGGCCCTTTATCACTAAACCTGGCTGTCCCAACCTTTCTCTGGCCCCTTTTCAGGTCCTTTCCCAGAGATGCCCATCTCCCAGCGACGGTGACATCGTGGCAAAGAGGAGCATGAGACAAAGCCACAAAGACCAGGGCCGGTTCCCTGAGACAGAAGACACCCCAGGATTAGGGAGCTGGGTGTCAGTGGCCATCACAACCTAGCGCCCTTCCTTTAGTTCCCAACTCCTCTGTCCAATTCTTTAGCCCCAACATAAAAGGTACACACACACACCTGCCCAGATCGCCCACCTTTTCCTTCAGCATTCCAGAGCCCAGGCAAAGGTATCGACCGACCAGGAAAAGAAAACAAAAAGACGGCATCTCCCCCAGAACAGTTCGGGTTAGAGAAGAGAGTCGTAATCTGGGGAGATGGAGCCTTTGAAGCGCGGGAGGGGAGCGAGTCCCCTGACCCGCAGGCTTGAGTCAGAGACCGCGTTGGAGACAGGCCGGTACTTTTTTGTGTAGCCTCGGCTAGATGCATCCCCTCCCCACCCCTCCCCAGGCTCCCTCCTTGAAAGACCCTTCCCCGGGCGCTCCCCACGGCCCTAGCTGCTCATTTCGAACGCACAAGCCCGGCAGAGACAGGCCTGTTACTACGGTAGAGCGCAGGGGGCGCGGAGCCGACGCGGACAATGGGCAATCTGCGAGCCCGCTGGGCGCGCGCTACACGGGTGCGCCCGTCTCTGCCCAGCCCCGGAGGGCCTCTTGTGGTTCCCTGGCTCCTCCTCCCGCCAGGCCCTGGGGGCCCAGATTGGCTCTAACGTCGGGGGTTTGGCTGGGGTCGGAGATCCGCTGTAACTGGACGGGCGTCCACCACGCAGGCCTCGTCCCTCCACCCTCGCGCGCTCCGGCCCGGGGCTCTGGCGGCCGGCCCTCCCCCGACCCCCCCTCTTTCCACACCCGCTCCCCGGCCGATCGGGGTAATGAGCAGCCCTCGGCCTGGCCCCCGCCCCATTGTGTACAATATGGGGGTGAAGCCGGGTCTCCGCGTGCGATGGAGGGTGACCGCGCGCGGCTGCGACCCCCGCTTCACACCTGCTCCCCGCCCCCAGCCCGGGGCCGCCGGGGGTGTGTCCTCTCCCTCCCCGCGGGAGGGGCCTCAGCTGGGGCTGCACTTGGTAAAGAGGCCGTGGAGAGGCCGGCGGCGGCCCGAGGAGGGGCTATAAATTTGGAACAGATGCGACCTGACAGGCCCCCAGCCCGGGGAGGTGGCGGGGGTGGGGGGGGCGGTACTGCTGTTCACCTCCCAGGTCCCATCTTGTCGTCTGCTGCTGAGTTAGACTGCGGACGAGGTGACCCGGGAGTTTGGACGTATGGAGGCCTTCTCCCCCTCACTACCCACCCCCGCCCCCGTCAGTGTCACCCCTCTTCTGCTCTTTGTGCCCACGTGTGGGGAGGAGGAATGGAAAGCAGGGAGGTGCCTGAATCACCATTGCTTTCCCCTTTAAAAGAGTGATTTCTGCTTAAGAGATTGACGAAGTCTGGCTCTGGCCTGGCACGTTTTGGCAGCAGCTAGAGAAAAATACGGCAGACAGCAGGGCATGCTTCGCCTGTTCATTCCACACCATTTGAAGCCCCGTTTTGGCTTCCCTGGTGGCTCAGCTGGTAAAGAATCCGCCTGCAATGCGGGCAACCTGGGTTCCACCCCTGCGTTGGGAGGATCGCCTGGAGAAGGGAGCCACTCCAGTATCCTGGCCTGGCCATGGGGTTGCAAAGAGTTGGACACAACTGAGCGACTTTCACTTTGTACTAAAAAACCCAAGGGAGGGAGGCACAGGCAGCCGGGATGCCAGAAAAGTAGGAACCAAGCTCAGAAAAATGCTAAGGAATAATGCCTGCCCCGAGCGCTTCCCAAGTGCTCAGTGGTAAGAATCCTCTGGCATTGTCAGGAGATGTGGATTTCATCCCTGAGTGGGGAAGATCCCCTGGGGAAGGAAATGGCAACGGACTCCAGCATTCTTTCTCGGGAAATCCCATGGAAAAGGGCCTGGCAGGCTTCAGCCCATGGGGTCACAGAAGAGTCAGACAAGACTGAGCAACAATGCCTGTCCTGCTCTAGGGACTTTAGGTGATTCGTTGTGTACGTTTAAATAGCATTTCCCTTTGGTAAGTACAGTCCTCCCTGGATGTCCTCTGGGGCTTGGCTCCAGTACCTCCATATAAAAAATCTGACACTCAAGTCCCTTATATAAAATGTCCTAGTATTTGCATATCGCCTGTGCACATCCTCTTATATACTTTAAATCGTCTCTAGACTACAACTAATACAACAACTCCTGTATGCACGCATGCTAAGTCACTTCAGTCGTGTCCGACTGTTTGAGATGCTATGGACTGTAGCCACCCTGCCCCCCCAGGCTCCTCTGTCCATGAGGATTCTTCAGGCAAGAATACTGGAGTGGGTTGCCATGCCCTCCTCCAGGAGATCTTCCTGACCCAGGGATCCAACCTACATCTCTTATGTCTCCTGCACTGGCAGACGGGTTCTTTACCACTAGTACCACTTGGGAAGCCCACAACAACCCCTACTACAGTGTAAACGCTATGTAAGTATATAGTTGCTTCCCTACAGCAAATCCAAGGTTTGGTTTTTAGAAATTTTTTTTTTAATATTTTCAATCCAGGACTGATGGACTCTGCAACTGCAGAACCAGCCGATCCAGAGGACCCACTGTAGTATTCTCCCCACGCAACAGAGGAGGGAGCAAGGTGCTGATGCTGCCTGGGGTTTAATGGAGTTCGTTTTCAATCCAGGTATCCCAGCCCCACGTGGGGGAGGTGAGAGGGGGTGCTGATGGGGACCTGCCAGTAAACCACACTGCCCAGGAGATGAGGTGCGCCTGTCATGGATCCAGACGGAAGTGGAGAGAGTTGAAACAGTGTCAGTTGGCCCAGCCCTTGCTTATCTTATCAGTCCTGAACACTGTGCAGCTACTGTTCTGGAGTAGCATGATTTGAGGGCTCAGCCCATGTCTAAAGATTGTGGTATAGTCACCAATCTGACCTAGGGTAAATTCGGGGGTTAGTCTTACAACAATGGTGCCAAGCGGAGCTGGCAAAAGGCACTGTGGTGTAGTGTCATCTCCCTTTACAGATGTTCTCTGCTTCCTCTCCTCTTGCAGAAACCATCACTTCTTCTCTTCCACCCCACCAGTCTCCCTGGTCCATACCCACTTGGTTTGTAGACTCATGGCTCTCAAACTTTGGCATGCATCAAAATCACTTGGAGTAAAGTAATTAGCCTCCAACTAATAAAAATAAATGGAAAAAAAAAATCACCTGGAGAGCTTGTTAAAAACACTCCCAGGAAAAAAAAAACAAAACACTCCCAGAGGGACTTCCCTGGTGGTTCAGTGGTTGTGAGTCTGCTGGTCAATGCAGGGGACATAGGTTTGGTTTCTATGGTCTGGAAAGATCCCACATGCCTCAGAGCAACTAAGCCCAGGAGCCTCAACTACTGAGCCCCTGCCCTAGAGCCCCAGAGCTGCACCTACTGAGCCTGTGTGCCTTAGAATACGTGCTCAGCAGCAAGAGAAGCCACTGCAGGAAGAAGCCTGTGCACCGCATCTAGACAGTAGCCCCGGCTTGCCACAACCAGAGAAAGCCCCCATAGAGCAATGATACAGAGCAGCTGAAAATAATAAATAAATCGTTTTTTTTTTTTTTAATTTGCCAGAGATTCTGATGTATTTAGTCTGGGAAGTCATGGGACCTGGGAATTTGCATTTCTATAAATTTCCCAGGTGAGGGCGGTGGGGATGCCTGGGGCTGCAATTTGAGAGCACTGGCCTGGGTGGAAGGAAAAGTATGGGCTGGTGAAAGAGGAAAGAAGTGATACGGCTGGAGGATATTATTGAAAGTTCAAGGTCCCCAGAGTCCTGGGGTATCTTTACTTTCTGTGAGGGACAGATAGACTGAAATCCTCAAGCAATCCTGGGCATATTCCAGAATTAGCCTAGGGCATGTGTGTTTTGTCTGGAGATTTAGCACTCCCCCTAATGGACTCAAACAACTCTGCACCCTCCAGTGAAAACCAAAATTACCTTATTTATTTTCCCAACCTAACTTGGTCATCTATTCATCCCTTTGGCACTAAAGGTGCAGGGATGTGATCTTACACATTTTTGTTTGCAAACTGATTTGCATGTTTTTCTTTCCGTGGAAAGGCATTTTATTTTGATGAGCATGGTTTTTGGTGCTCAATGGTGCTCAACTCCGTGGATGATGGTGTATGCATGAATGAATGCTTTCTTCTTTAAGAGAATCCTAACACCTACCAGTCCCCTCCTTCTTTCCTTTGCTTCTTCTCCCAGCTGTTCTAAAATACTCTGAAAGTGATTTAAGATCCAGATATTTGCTGAAAAATTCTCCTCAATATGTCAGCATCATTATGAAGTTAGGAGAATTTGGCTGATGGCTAAGCAAGCAAGCCCAAGTTAGAGGCTGAGGATGGGTTCTGTAAAAATATGTGTTAAGTCACCTCAGTCATGTCTGACTCTTTGAGACCCCGTGGACTAAACAGTCCACAGAATTCTCCAGGCTAGAATACTGGAGTGGGTAGCCTTTCCCTTCTTCAGGAGATCTTCCCAACTCAGGTCTGCATTGCAGGCGGATTCATCATCAGCTGAGCTACAAGGGAAGCCCTTGTAAAATATATGATTGTTCAGTTCAGTTTAGTTCAGTCGCTCAGTCGTGTCCGACTCTTTGCGACCCCATGAATCACAGCACGCCAGGCCTCTCTGTCCATCACCAACTCCCGGAGTTTACTCAAACTCATGCCCATCAAGTCGGTGATGCCATCCAGCCATCTCATCCTCTGTTGTCCCCTTCTCCTTCTTCCCCCCAATCCCTCCCAGCATCAGGGTCTTTTCCAGTGAGTCAGCTCTTTGCATGAAGTGGCCAAAGTATTGGAGTTTCAGCTTCAGCATTGTATATGATTTTAAACATATATGATTTTTAAAAAAAAATCAGTATAGCAAGAAATTAGATGAGAAAAGCAGGTGACATTTTATTTCTTCCCACCAGGTGGCAGACCTTGCCCAATCAATGAGAATTAACCCTGCACTTGGAGCCTGGCCTATACTCGACATTTTTCCACTCAGAACCAGGACAAAGGGCTGTTTCTCTACTTAAATGACTTGGGAATTGAAGCAGGAAGAGCTGTTATTGGAAAATACCTCTGTAACAGCTGCCGAGGTACTTGGTGATCCCTTGAGTTTCCTCAAGGGCTCTCTGAGACGTCTTAGTTTTTCCTTCTGGGAAAGAGGTCCACCCTGCTCTAGATGTAAAAAAATGGGTTACTTAACTAAGAAAAATGCAAAGAATGTAACTTCAGACCAGAAGTTTCTACATATGAAGCAGCCCTGAACCACTTTAAGGCCCAGGGCTTGGCTTCTTCCTCCCAGGGACCCTTGGCGGTCAGCCTCTATTTCCTACCACCCACGAGTTCTTTGTTCTCTTGCTGGCATTGAATCTTCCTCAAATTATTAATAAAAATGACCGCTTTATTTTAACTCTAAAGTCCACTCTGGGACCTTCTTACTAAATTCCAGCTTTCCATCTAATGGACACAAGGATGTTCTCTAATACACACCCAAGTGATCATGACCCTCCCTCAGATGATACTCAACATGTTACAAAACCTAAATCATACAGTAACTTTAGCAAATTACATGCTCATAGCAAGAATATACATTGTTATTATTGTCTAGTCACTAAGTCCTGTCTGACTCTTTGAGATCTCAAGGACTGTAGCCCACCAGGCTCCTCTGTCCACAGGATTTCCCAGGCAAGAATACTGGCGTGGGTTGCCATATCTCCCGTAAGGGATCCCTGACCCAAGGATCGAACCCCACATCTCCTACATTGACAGGTGGATGCTTTACCACTCAGCCACCAGGGAAGCCCAAGAATATTCATATGTGTGTTAAAATATATACACAGTGTCTTACAGGAGAACTCAGTGAATGTTTTGGGAGATGAGCAGGTGAAGATTCTGTTTTATGCACTGTTTTTATCTCAGTTGTATGTGCAACAGATACTGAGAATACAATAGTACCCAATCCAGGGCCAGAGTCAGAGCAGATCATACCTACACAGGAAACAGGAAGTTGTGAGATTGGATTGACACATATATACTATTGATACTATGTATAAAGTAGATAACTAATGAGAACCTACCATCTAGCACAGGGAGCTCTACTTAATTCTCTGTGGTGACCTGCAGAGAAAGGAAATCCAAAAGGGAGGGGTGTTTGTACATATATGACTGATTGATCCTGTTGTATAGTAGAAACTAACACAGCATCATAAAGCAGCCACACTCCAATAAAAATTAACTTAAAAAAAAAAGAAAACAGGAAGTCGCCTATACCATTGTCATGTTCGCAAACACAGGTGGGACATTACTCTCAGCTCATCAGCTTGAAGCACTGTTGTTCCATCGCCAAGTTGTGTCTGACTCTTTGTGACCCCATGAACTGCAGCACTCCAGGCTTCCCTGTCCTTCACTATCTCCCTGAGCTTGGCCAAGCTCATGCCCATTAGGTCAGTGATGCCACCTAACCATCTCATCCTCTGTCATCCCCTTCTCCACTTGCCCTCAGTCTCCCACCATCAGGGTCTTTTCTAATGAGTCAAATCTCCTCATCAGGTGGCCAAAGTATTGGAGCTTCAGCTTCAGCATCAGTCTTTCCAGTGGATATTCAGGGTTGATTTCCTGTAGGATTGACTGGTTTGATCCTTGCAGTCCAAGGCTTGGGGATGTGTAAATCCCAGGCAATAGTGACCACTTTAGCTAAAACTCAGCCCAGAAAGCTTCAGTGGGCAGTTCCCTGATTCTGCAGCAGCTCCCTTGGTCATCTTAAATGTTTATAGAAATCTTGCGCTAAAGACAGAGACTATGCGGGAAGAAATTAGATAATTGAAATAGTACCCATTTGGGTTTTTTCTCTGTGGATTGTTAACAGAGTCAGTCAAACCCATGTTTATGGAATGCCCACAGGGCACATAGTAGGGTACTTCACCCCTCATTGAAAAATCCGTTAAAACAATTAGTAGACCATGCTTAGAAACTTTTTCTCCACAAAGAAATTTGCTTTAGTTGCTGGGGTAACAGGAACTAATTTGAGATGTAAAACTAACAACCCCCTTTTGCACTAGGAAGGCTTTATGTAAACTGTCACATACTACAAATTAGATATGTGAATTTATTTGTACCTGTGTCTGTGTATATGGACTTAAAAGCTACAAACGTAATAAGATATTGACATAAGGGGAAAATAATGTTAAAAGTTAGTGAATCATCTTCTACTAATGCTCCAAAGTTAAATGTTTACCTGGGAGGTTATGCCCTGGTTATAGGCCATTAATGACCATCAATAAATAAAAGTGCGTTCACATCTACACTTATGGAATGTCATATTGTCTTGACTCTCACACAAAAACAAGACTCAAAGAAAACCCACTTTGGGGCTTCCCTGGTGGTCTGTCTAGTGGTTGAGAATCCACTTCCCAATTCAGAGGGCACGGGTTCCATCCCCGGTCTGGGAAGACCCCACATGCCTCAGAGCAACTAAGCCCAGGAACCACAACTACTGAAGCCCACGTGCCCTAGAGCCCATGCTCCCCAACAGTAGAAGCCACCACAAAGAGAAGCCCGAAACTAGACAGTAGCCCCTGCTCACTACAACTCAAGAAGATCCACGCAGCAAGGAAAACCCAGCACCGCCAAAAATAAATAAATCTTCTTTTAAAAATCCACTTTTACCAAGATACTGTTGATCAGTGCAAATGGCTAGACTCATTCAAACCAACATTCGATCATTGAAATTGATTTATAAACATAAGGAGATTTCGTAAGTTTGTTTGTTGCTTTTTCCCACTGCTAACTTTAGCAACCTTTATTAACATATGTACACATACACAGTTGGTTCTGCCTTTTTTCAATTATTAGTTCAACAAGGAATTTTCATCACATACTTAGGGCACTGAAACAGAACTTGTTGCCGGGAGGAAGCCAATTCTGACTCCACTTGGAACTGTTTCCTTGACTTGCTTTTCTTTGCTTTTGTTATTATAATCATACAGAATGGTTTGCCTCAGAGAATCCTGACTGTTAAACTAAAGTGCCCTTGTTCAGAACACTATCCACCTGTGGGTGGCAGGAAGGAAGAAATTAACACATCCCCTGTCTGAGGCTTGCCATTCTAGGAGATGTCTGCAAGATTAATGGCCTTTTTACTTTGCTTCCTCACCTCCCCTCATCTCTAATCTATAAAAGAACCTGGCATCCAGACCCCATACGATGGTTATTTTGAGGTGCTACCCTGCCATCTTCTTGGTCTGCCAGCTCCTCTATTAAAGTCTCTTCCTTACCTCAACACCTGTCTCTTGGATTCACTGGCCTGTCATGCAGCGAGCAGAGCAAGCTTGGACTCGGTAACAGACTTACCCCCATATCCTGCAAAGCCTGAGTTATCTAGTAGAGCATTTCGACTTGAGGGAGATGCGGGGTCTTGTTGATGGTGCCTGGTCATAGTAGGGTCCCTCCATTGCTACTCCTGTCCCGTGTTCTAGTCCCAAATCTCTGCAAACAGCATCCGACCCAAGATTCTCTACAGAATCCCCTAGATTCTTTAGGGAAGAGGAGAAAGAAAACAGACGTGGGCAGAGGGCCTTAGAATTTATTCAAAAAGTGTATCCACATGTGAGTGTAAGGATATCTGCTGTATATATTGAAAACATTGTCACAATATAACTCTTCCCATTAGGAGATGAGTCTCTTTTTTAATATGTTTATTTATTTATTTGTGGCTGCACCGGGTCTTCATTGCTGGGTGGGCTTTCCTCTAGCTGTGGTGAGGGGGGGCTCCTGTCTACTTGTGGTGCTTGGAGTCCTCATTGTGGTGGCTTCTGTTATTTGGGAGCGCAGGCTCTCGAGCACGCGGGCTTCAACAGTTGTGGCACGTGGGCTCAGTGGTTGGGGCTCCCAGGCCCTAGAGCACAGGCTCAGTAGTCGTAGCTCACTGGATTCGTTGTTCCTCAGCATGTGGGATCCTCTAGGACCAGGGATCAAACCCATCTCTCCTGCATTGGCAGGTGGATTCTTTACCACTGATCCACCAGGGAAGCCCCCAAGAGATGAGTCTTAAAAGTGAAAAGAATACACTTTCTATCAAGTGGTAGAACTGTGGTGACAGATATATGGAAAAGAATAAAGGTTTAGAGCATAAGCTGAGGTCAGTCACAGCATCAAAGTTGAGATTTATCACTTACCAGTGATCTCGTTTTGGAAAAGTAACAACTTCTCTGACCTAAGGCTAAACATCTCACTTGTTACATGAGGCTTCAATTAGACAAATATGTAAAATGCGTAGTATAGTATCCACCAGAACGCATCAGTGAGTGGAAGTTCTTGGCATCCTGCAAAGCTCCATGAGAGTCGAAGCCTACTTCACCTCTGACACTTCAGGTGGCTTCTGGTTGATCTTCACCTCTGATCAAGAAACTGTTGGGTTGGCCAAAAGTTTGTTTGGGTTTTCCATGACATCTTATGGCCAAACTTTTTGGCCAACCCACTGTGCATGCAGCATATCAGAAAGCTCACTGATCTGCCAGTAAGTCGGCCTACGCCATCATAGAATATTCTATTTGGGGAGAAACTCTGTGTGGGATAGTTGTCATAGGTGAGCAAGATCCTTTCATTTTTTGGTAGGGAAATTATTGGTAGGTTAGATTGGATCTCTCAGAGATAGATGCTGAGATAAGGATTAGAGTGCAAGCAGTTTATCTGGGGAAGACAGTCACCAGCAGGGAAATGGAGGTGTTTGAAAGAAAGGTAGGAGGCAATAAGGGTGAGTGTGAACAACTGGGGTTTAATCCCATCAGGGAGCCCTGGGAGATGGTGTAGGACACACCTTGGAGCTGCTCCACCAGGAAGAGCAAGGAAGTTGGGATATTTATTTACCGACTTCTCATCATCAGTTAAGATCTGCTTTCAGGAGCATTATCTGTTGCAGCAGCGACATGCAGCAGAACCCTGGAGGTCTCCACTAGTTTTCCCAGTGGAGCTTGCAAAAGACTCTACATGGCATACAACTACAACCTAACACCACTAGCACCAAGGAATCTACTGGTCATAGGACCAGGCAGCAAGGCCACTGAAACTGCTCTCAGAACCTGCTGAAGGTCTGCTCTTGCTCTGGCCCCCCTCTTAATGTGTGGTCTTCAAAGTCACCTAATACATGGATTGGAGCAGTATTCCCAAATGTGGTACATGTTGTCTCTACAATCCGAAGAAGCCTACCCTTACTGCACCCCCACATGGTATAAGGAGCAAAATGCAGGAACTTGTCCTCAAGCTTGGAGTGGACCTCGGGGATGCCCAAGACAACTGACCCTTAAAAACTTCCCTGACGTGGCAGACCCGCCAATCATTTTAGGGCTTATTTCCTACCTGCTGGTATTCAAGTGATTAACACGCTGCTATCAAACTAGGGGAACTTGGGACTTCCCTGCTGGCCCAGTGGTTAAGAACCCACCTGCCAATGCAGGGGACACAGGTTCGATCCCTGGTCTGGGAACTAGGATCCCACATGCCAT